TTCAAAACGAATCAAAAAACATGAAAAATCCGATTCGCTAGAGAGTTTGCTTCAACATATAACAACAATATCGGCACAATTTTTACGCAATAGCTACGTAAAACGCGAGCAGTCAGACATTTTTAACAACAGATGAACAGCTCAGTGAGGAAGGAACGTTGCAAGTTGATTTTGCTGAAAATTTTGTCTGTGAGGGACAAGACGAAGTACAAAGTGCACATTGGAATCAAAAACAGCTCACTGTATTTACTACTGCCTTTCATTTTAATGAAAAATTCCAATCAAAGGTTTTCGTGTCGAACAATTTATCACACACGAAAGAAACCATCGTTCCTTACATGTACATACTGCTCTCAGGAGTACCCGAATCAGTGAAAATATTGAAAATTTGGAGCGACGGGCCATCTTCCCAATTCAAGAATAAATTCATCGCTGCAGTCATTCCTGTTTTAGAAGACAAATTCGGTATAAAAATCTACTGGAACTACTTTGCAACTTCTCACGGAAAAGGTTGCATCGATGGTATTGGTGCAACTGCCAAGATGATAGTGAAAAAGCAAATTTTGTCTCGCAAATGCATTGTAAATTGTGCTTCGGATTTTGTTACTGCATTTAATCTCACTGAATCTAAAATCGATATCGAAGAAGTAACTGAGAATGATTTTCTTGATATAAATTATATTTTTAACACCCCTGCTAATTTTGACAGTACAAAAAATATCCGTGACATAGCATCGGCTCATCAGATTCAAGTGATTAATGGAAAAGTTGTCACTTTCCACACTTCAAAACAAGGATACAATTCATAATTATATCTTATTTTAACTTTGTATGCTAGTTTTAACAAATGTTCATGAGTGCACCGAATAATTGAAAAATTATTCGCGCCTTCGAATTCCATATCTAACTACTTATACGCATAATCGTAAAATAAGTAAATCAATGTTATTAATTATAAAATTAAACGATTAAAACCTTTTTGTTGCTCAAGTTTACTTTTTGGGTCAAAGGCGATCACACAGGTAACGTAACAGTCTTTTTGTGTAACGTAACAGTCCAAACATTTTTGCTTTTAAAAAACCAAAAACATTTTGTTTTTCTTATTTGATATAAAAATTCATCAATTTCATTAGAAAGCTTGAAAATTAAGCAATAGACGCTATAAATACTCTGAAACAAGAGCAGACTTTTTGGCCAATGTACAGTAACTTCAAAACCTACTGCCAAAATTATGTAACGTAACAGTACCTGTTTGGATGTTTATAAATATAAATATATATATATATATATATATATATATATATCACTCCGAAATAACGAGAGATACGAAAATTTGTATCATTATGAAAAATGTTGCTTGAAAGGCAATCTTTTAGTGACATACATATAAAATATTCAAAATATCGAATTCTCCGTGTTTCCGAAAATTTTAAAATTAAAAAAAAATGATGTCCAATGTAACGTAACAGTCCACGTTTTTGACCAATATATATATATATATACATTTCCCAAGTTTGAAAAAATTTGCCCAAAAATAGTTTTTATTTATACCGTTTAGTCGTCTCGGAAAGGCTTTTTTCAACGGCTGGGAATATTCAGACTAAAAAAAGAAAATTGCCTGTCACCAGCGAACCGTTAGATGTTGTGCTTTCTCAACAAAAATTTGCTAGTTGTAAATTTTAATTAGAAGAATAAAAAAATGGAAAGTTTTAATATTCGATTTGTATTCGATTTAAGTTTGTAAATTTTTTAACAAACTTAAATTATATTAGATAAATTTATTATTAGTTAATTCTGCACCAGCAAATATACAGACCAAAGCGGAATGGGGACTCTAACGTTTAAAAATTATTTTTAGTAGGGTAGAGACGTGGTACAAATTCAAAAAAAAGCAAAACGATTTATTAAAGTATTATAAACAAAATACAAAAAAAATAACATTTTTTTTATTATCGTATTAAAAAAAGTGTCCTTTACTCCATTTCGGGTTATCAGGCTTACACAATTCACAGACAAGTTCTGCATCGTCGTCATCACTCTCTATCCCCGCACACGCATTGTGACTTTTGACACTGTGTGCATAAAATACAACTCTTAAATGAAGCTCAAAATGGGTATATAGCAGAAAGATTTGGACACATTGTCTGATTGGTGTAACAGAAATCATTTATATTTAAATATACAGAAATGTAATGTAATGACATTTACGAGAAAAGTTAACAACATTGATTTCAGTTATACAATAAACAGTGTTCCAATAAAAAAGGTACTTACTATTAAGGATTTAGGAGTTATTTTTGATTCCACCTTGTCGTTTGCTACTTACATTAATTCCACAATATCAGCGGCAAATAAATCCTTGGGTTTTATAATTAGAAACACTAAGGATTTTAAAAATATAGATTCATTAAAATGTCTCTTCAACGCTTATGTACGAAGCAAACTTGAATATGCCTGCATTATATGGTCACCATATTACAATGTATATATTGATAGCATTGAAAGACTACAAAGAAAATTTTGCAGATATTTATGTTATCTAATTTATGGATATTATCCCTTATACAATTTTGACTATGTAAGTGCGTTAATTTGCTTTGACATGGAAAGTCTGGAAATAAGAAGAAGAAATGCTCAGCTGATTTACTTGTATAAACTAATTAATGGAGTCATATTTGATTCCAAACAGTTACAAAAAGTCAACTTTTTTGTACCAAGAGTTAATTCTAGATTTCGACAGACTTTTTATGTTCAAGCATCTAATACTAATCAGGGCATGCATGCCCCGCTAAGATCAATGTGTCGATTATATAATCAAATTGAAGATAATTGTGACATGTGCGTTTTATCATTAAATCAGTTTGTTAATAGAATTAGAGCAATAGCGTAACAAATTATAATTTTACTTTTATTTTTTTCTCATTGTTTTATATTGTTTATTTAATGTTGTGTTATACTGCATATTGTAAAAAATATATATCCTTTATTTAGACTTTGTCTGTTGGATTAATAAACTATTATTATTATTATTATTATTATTATATATATCGAAAAGTTATTAAACTAAACAAAATTTCACCAAGTTTAGTCTAAAACACACTAAAACGTTTGTAGTAACCCGTTTGTCATTAACAACTGACGTGTTGGCCTTCTAGTAAATGATAACAAAGGACAATAGTACTATCGATCGACTGCAGCGGGAAATTTTAATAAAACACGGTTTTGACCCGGTACCCCCGTTCTACCCCGGTCTCCCCTACCGAATTGGATCCTTTGGGAAACTTCCGATTGGTTCTTGAATAACATTTACAATTAAAAACACTATAATAATTTACTATGATCACTTAGATAAAGTAGGTATATAAGGAATAATAAATAGAAATAGAGTACTGAACCAAGTTTTTCAGTTTTTACTTGCAACTCAAAACAAAAATTACGTGCGCGGTTAAGCAGTGCAATTGCAATTTTGTGAATAAAATTTGTCCAGTTAGATTTCTTTCTTCCTCTTTTTTGTGAAAAACTACTTATTTATTTAAAAATAATGTGTAGTTCCTACGCTTTAAATGGATTGTTGACCAACCTTGTAGTCCAGTAATGCTATCAAGCGCCACGAGATGGCGCGCGCGTTTTGAAAATCCTGATTCTTTAGTGCTCATTCATAATGGACGTAACCATAAGATGTCCATAAAACGGAAACATAATATCACCATAATTTGTACGTAGCGATGAGCTGTGTTTATAATGAACGTATGCCTTATGTATATATTAATAAGGCGCCCATGTCCAAGTTCACTAAAATGACAGCATTGACAGCTTTCGTTCAATTATTATGTCTTAAAACTATCAGTGATATCATATTCTTAGTGTAATGAGCGATATATACGTAGAATTACTTCTCCTTTTGTTGGCAAAGAGAAGAAGTTTGCCCTCAACCGAAAAGAAGCAACGGAAACCTCGTCGGTGGAGTGTAAGACCAGTAAATAGGGACATACTCGAATACTCGAACTAAAACTTCACGATGAGGAATGGTTCTTTAGATACACCAGAATACAATTGAAAAACATAATATAATATATATTATGTCATCTGTTTGAAAGGCTACCACCCTGATTGCTAACAACAATGTTCTAGTGAAATCATTAAAATTACTAAAATTGACACATAAGACACCAGTAAAGTTGAGTTCATTTCAACTTTACGTATTTTTACGGCCACCCATAAGATCTTATAGTAGAGGATCCCAAGTAAGGTCGACCTTCACCCATCTGCTTACCAGATGAAAATTATATTTTATCAAATAAAATATGTTTCTGAACATAAACCAATAGGGTTGCCATAAAAAATATGATCAAGGCTAGCTATAATAAATAAAAAATTAAAAAAAAATAATTAATTTTTTAAATTTCACCGACTTGCTTGCCAAATGAACGAAATTCCAATGGAAAGCATACAACATACAGAATATGTAACAGCTAGGTTGCCTACCTTTTTCTGGTCCCTATTACCTGGTTGCTTTGTACAGGGTGATCCCCTATAATGTCGCCCCCCTTAACTTTTTTATTTTAAGTGTCCCAAAAAATTTAAAAGTGTGGTTATGTAGGAACTAAAAAATACTTTTTTTCTACGTATAAAGAAAATTGGAAAATTGATCAGTATACAGGGAAAACAAAAAGTTTATTTTTTTCAATATTATAGCTAGCCTTGATCATATTTTTTATGGCAACCCTATTGGTTTATGTTCAGAAACATATTTTATTTGATAAAATATAATTTTCATCTGGTAAGCAGATGGGTGAAGGTCGACCTTACTTGGGATCTTAGACTATTATGTTCGAACGTAAAACTTAAAAATTACGGCTACTCATTATAAACAGGACACTGGTTTTGTTAGTATTCAACTTTCTTACATCTTATGGTTACGTCCATTATGAATGAGCACTTAGCGTTAAATTTTAAAATGTCATCTCTAATTTAAAACAGTTAAATTGTCAAATTATTGTCAAAATTTAAGGTATTTTAACATGTTTATTTTAAGTCAAAATTTAAATGATTTCGACGAGGATGAGGTACCACGAAAAAAAATTAAGTTGTTCAACCATATCGACATTAAATGTTATATAAACTCATTGCCGGATGAAATAATGACAAAAATATTTTCATACATTCCAAATAAATTTCTGTATTTCCAAGCAAGAGCAGTTTGCAGAAAATGGAAAAAAATAACGTGCGCCCCGGAATTATGGAAGAAAATAATTGCCGGAAAAAATATAACCACCCAATCTCTGGAATGTTGGATAACAATGGCGACACATTTAACCGAAATAAATTTGAAGCAAAGGTGCGATATAAACTATATTACGCAACAACTAACAAAATACTCAAGAAACCTTGTTACACTCAAAATTGAAAGCTGCTGGGGAACAGAGGACTCGAAATACATCAAAAGTTCGAATTTATGTAAAATGGTGCAGCATTGTAAACGTTTAAATAATTTTCATTTTGCCGATATCAGGATAAGATCTTCAAAGTTTTTCAGGTTGCTGAGTCAAGAACGAAGCAGAAACCAAGTCCACAAATGCAATTACAACGGACCTGTATCCAAGAGGCAGTTGCAAGTCTTCATCGATGCGATTCTTCATAGCGATGCTTATCAAGGCGCCACTTTTTACGGGGCCGTCAATGAACATAGAGTTTCGTCACAACCAGTGGAGAATCGAGATATTAATAACAATAATGAGAACAATCAGAGTCAAATAGATTATATTTGGCAGGACATTGTCAATAATGTTAATAATGAAGGGGGTGTGGCCAATAATTAAAACCTAAACCACCATTTTGTAAATGTTTACAATGAAGTACACTGAAAAAAAAATTCTTGAATCAAATAAATTTATTTTTATTTTTTATTTAACGAAGAGAAGAGAATATATTCTTTAAAATAGTAAAGTTTTTTCTTAATTCACGTTGATTTACTTCAAGAATATTTTCTTAATGTAAGAAAATTAAATTTCTTTAACCCGTAACCGGTACGGCGCGACTTTCAGGTCATAAACGGTACTAAGGGGTCTGAGAGACACCTACCTTTTAAAATTATTATTTATATTATTTTTTTGATCTGAGGTTTTGGGGATACTAGGGACTATATATAAAGTTAGAATATCACAAAAAATAATACCTAAATAAAAGAAAAATTTGAACAAATAGGTTTTTATCAAAACATGTACAAAAACTGCAGTAGTGCAAACTTTGTGATTAAACTATAAAAAATATTAAACCAAACGATCTTTATTTCGAAAAATATACTTTAAAAAATAACATAAACAAAAAAAATTCTAATATTTCTTTTTTTAACATAAAAAATCAAACTATAGCTGATTTTTACAATTATTTTTTCCATAGTAACTTTTTTGTTTTTTTTCAAATTCTTAAAAAATTTCAAATTCTTCACTATCTGATCCTATAGGTTCAAAATCAAATTTTATATATAAAATTATTTTCTATAGAATCTTCACAGACAAGTCCTGAATCGCTGCTGTGATTATCTTCAACGACATAATCACTATTATGGTTATGTAGTATACTACAGTCATCTATATCACTTATATCGCTGTCGATTTCAAAAAACCACTACAGTTTCCTTAAAGCCCTTCTTATCACTTTGGACATGTTTAGAAGGCCCTTGTTGCGAATCCATAACGAATTAATTGTTTTATAAAAATAACGTAAACGGTACGCAGTGGTCTAATAGACACCTCAACACTTTGACTCCTAATAATTTGTCCGTTTGACAATCCAACCTAAGTCTAAGAGCATATTGATAACTGCCCAACTTAAAAGTATTGGAAGCGACAGATTTTTAAAACAAAAGGTGAGGGTGTGACAGCGCTTTGTTCGTTGATGAGTGTCTCCCAGACACCACAGTACCGGTTACGGGTTAAATAAAACCACAGTCTGTAAATAAAACTTTGAATGTTCAAAAGCAAGAATATATAATTTTTGAAACAAGGCGGCAATATTTTTAAATAAAAAAATCCGAAGTAAGATATTGAAATAAAAATATATTCTTAAATAAAAAAATGATTTCTTTATTCAAATAATTTGTTGTTTTAAAGGAAAAATAAATCAGTGGTATTCTTAAATAAGAAAGATACTTACCTACTTAATTCAAATTAAATTTTCTTAAAAGAAGAACATGTGATATTGAAGTAAGGCAATAATTTTTTTAAATAAAGATGTTTTCTACAACCCAATTATTATTAATTAATAATTAATAGATATACGATTTGAAATTTTATTTTATTGATTACAAAATAATATTTATTTTAAAACAGTGCAAGAAGTATCGTTAAAAATAAAATGCATCTATCTTAAGCTACTTTTAGCAATGTTTCAAAAAATCTATCATTTCGTATTTAAAATCAATAAAATTTTAAATAAGGATACTTCTAATAACTTAAAATTATTTATTTTAATAATAAAAACTTCTTTTTATTTAGGAATATTACTGCAAGAGAAATAAAATTTAAAATAAAAATACGTCTAAACACTTGGGTGTAATTTTAAATATCCTGTAATTTTTTAAGGATTGTTGTCTAATCTTAAACAAAACTTTATATTTAAATACTTACGGATTGAGCCAAACTTACTTAAGGGCCAAAATTGCTGGATTTATGCAGCACACATTAACATTAAGTTAACATTAACCTAATTTAAGGTGGGTAATACCCACTGGGTATTTTATGCAGCAAAATTAGTGGCAAATTACCCATGAGTATAAGTTAAAGTAATTTTGACATCCGACATCTTTTGTTTGTTTGAATTTTGTTTTAACCCCGTTTTAGCATACGTTAGGTAAAATGAATGAAAACTATAAACTGCACGTCAAACAATAAATCAAAGAATGGGCACACCCATATCTCAGTTATTAGACATGGGACCCACATCAAATTTATATGAGTTAATAATGACATTATATAGACAAGTTCTGCGCAAGCAGAATTTAAATAAAAAAAAAATAGAAATGGTATAAAATCCCTAATACTTTTTTTTAATAAAATTTGAAATTTATCGATAAACTTCAGTGAATTAAATATTGTACATTTTCATTAAGAAGATAAAAGTTGGTCATCTCTTAATGTTAACTTAATGTTAAAGTTAATATGTTGCATAAAAGCTTCCAAAGGATTACGTTTATTTAACTTCTTAATGATAATGTTAATCTTAATGTTAATGTTAACTTAATGTTAATTTGTGCTGCATAAATCCAACATATAACGCTGTATCGTTTCTAGGTGGTGCAGTAACCAAAAAAATTAGGCTATAAAATAAAAAACAAACGTTGAACAAACACATTTATTTTGTTTTTAATAGAAGAAAAACCTAAAATGTATACATTATTATAAATTAACGTAGGAAACTAAATCATTAATATCGACATATTTTTCATTTGAAATAATTTGTAATATTTTAGGCATAGTAGAATAGCATGCTATTAATTGGTAATTGCAATTACCAATTTTAATAAATAATTTAGGGCCATTGCCAATGAACTTCACACTATATGAATCAAAATGAATGATTACCTACCCCAAAGTTTGTTACAAAATTACTTTTAAAACAAAATCTTTTAGGGCCAACTCATTTACAAATTGTAAGGCATCCTTAATGCATATTAGTAAATATTTGAATACCTACCTATAGGTAGGTTTATTGTTTAAAGATACCTACACGTAATACAACGCGAAATTTAAAAAATAACAACTTACTTACCTTCAAATGTTTTTATAATTTCCTCCGATACTGACCACTCTTCTAATAATTTTTTTAATGAAATCATAATACGTAGAAAGAAATACTGCATGATTACTAATCATTGATTAGGCATAACATTTAAGAGGAACGTGTCGGCATCCCCACTCCTACACGATTTCAAGAATATGTATTCTCGGCAAAAGAAAAAACTGTTTATAAAAACGAATAAGAAAATGTAAGAATATCCAATTTTTAATATAAAAAAATTAAACCAATAAAAAATTAAGAATATCTAATTCTTGATATAAAAAAATATTAACAATTGTATCAAGAAACCAACTAAGATTTCCTTTAAGAATATTTAATATTTGGATTAAAACATGCAATTTTTTAAAACAAGAAATGTTTCTTTATATTAGAATATTTCCAAAAATACAAAATTCTTTTTTAAAGTAGTTAAATATTTTAATTGAAAAATATATTCTTATTTTAAAGCAAGTTGACTTGAATTAAAAAAATATTTTCAAGATGATAGGTTCCAAATATAAGAAATCTTTTTTAGCTCAATAAAAAACTTGAACAATTTTGTCTTGTTTAGTATACTTTAAAACAAGTACATATACTTTAAAACGTTTTACAAATTTATTTTAAAGTAAAATTTGTATTTTATAAATTGTGGTGTTAAAGGCATAATGCAAGAAACGATGGTCCAGGTACACGAAGCGAGTAAAGTGAAGCAAGAAAACAGGCAGACAGTTTTTGAAAGTGGTAGCAAACGCATCGCTATAGCGATATACTTCTAACATTTTGCTAAAACTTAATTTATGTTAAATTTCTAGTGATTCCCACGAGAGTCTCGTTTTCGAGAGTCTCGCATGGTCTCGTCTCGTTTTCGAGACGAGACTCGAGACGATATTTGGACCGGACAAGACGAGACGAAACGAGACTTTTATTGGTCTCGTCTCGAGTCTCGAGCGAGACTTCTGAAGTCTCGTGCGAGAGTCTCGCAGGAAAATATTTCTGCGAGCGGACTGGATCGTCAGGCGGTGTTATTAAACAAACGTTTGACGGTCATTTTCTTTTGTCGGGCCGCCGGAGCCGCCTTTGCATCCCACTTTGACTGTCATAAATTTAGCGATATGTATGTGTAAGTAAATAAAGACAATTAATTGTTTCGACTTTTACTTTACTTTTACTCCATGTTAATAATATGTTAACATTAACTAATATAAACTACACTGTTTAATAGTTTCACTTTTTTATTTAAATATAACAATTGTTTCGCTACACAGTAGCATCTTCAGATCTTATCCAAACTAATATTAATTTTCTATTTATATAATATGTGAGGCAACTGGTAATTCACGGCAACTGACACCTGTGTTGGATGTGCCTACACGGTGGAATTCCAGTAATGATATGTTGCAAGTAGCTCTTAAAGGCATGGACTTGGTGTATTGTGTCAAAATGTTGCCGATTTAAAACCATACACTCTTGGGGATGAAGAATGGATACTGCTAGAAGAAGTGCATAAATTATTAGCTAACTTTCAAATACTTTCAAAAAAACTCGGAGGAGACAAGTACGTCACCTTACCTATGGTGGTTGTATGTATCAATATACTAATAGATAATCTTGAGAGCAAAATATTTAAATGGGAGGTAAAGGCAGGTCGAACCCCTGTTGAAGAACAGCTTATTGTTGGTTTTCAGGCTGCGAGAGACAAAATATTAAAGCATTATCGTAAAACTAACTGGATTTATGCTGCAGTTTTAATTCTCGATCCGCGGCATAAATTAGAAGCATTTGATATGACAAGATGGGGCCAAGAATTAAAACAGAGTTCGATCCAGAAATTTCAAGATATATACAAAGTTTATTTTCATCCCAGCTGACATGGTCACGTCATATAAACGTCGATTATTGGTATATATTGGTATATGACGTCGACGACCTTACATCGACGTCTCTACGACGTCACAACCCTTACCAACCATATACGTCATTTTGTCAACGTCGACATAACGTCGACCTAAAGTGATACAATAATAATTTTAGCAATTACCCAGGCAACACAGTGACGTGAATATCACGTTTAATTTACGTCTACGGT